TGTATTTATTTATCTTAAAGATTGTTTGTTCTAACTTATTCAATTGTGAAGTAACTGACAGTTATTTACGTATGTGCAATAGATACATCTTATTAATACTCTCCTTGTTTTATGTGACCTTTACATAGAAACTACCAACCAAGTCTTTTGTTGTGTGTGCAATAAATAACCAAACATTTTAATGTGAGTGGGCAAAACCTCTATCATCCTCTTGACACCATGCCTGAAAATCTTTCTAGAGGAAACACTGAGGTGTGTCCATGTACTGTATTCCAAGGACGGTGTTCCTCTTGATTTAGACTCTTGATTTTAACTGCACAACTAACAATATTATTGATTCATGTATTCAGTATTATTTGTAACTGCTCTTTTACTGCCTTTTGTTAGTTTTGGGAAAGGACCTTATAAAAGGTTTGAAAATCAATTTTCTCTCCCAAGAAAAGAAAAATCAAGAGCACAGTCTGAGCTTACACACACTTCTGTTTCATCATTTTATTATTCACCATCTTCACATTGTGTAAACCAGAGACCACGCCCATTCATTTAACCTGTTCTCCTCCTCTCATCATTTTTTTCTTCCCTGTTCTCCTTTCCTCTCTCTACACTTTCTTTCTTCAACCTTTATCCCCCCATCTCTCCTCATTCTGCTCATATGTTATTGTGTACAGACCAGAATGCCTCCTTCTGCCCCATGATCTGCTTCACCTTAATCTTCATGAAGAAAGGATGAAGAGGATGGGGTGGGCGGTGGGAGGCAGTGATGGCTCTGGGGGTGGAAGAAGACAACAGAGTTGAGATGAAAGAGGGAGAGATGAAAGAGAAGAGAGGCAAGAGGAAGAGGAGATGAGAAGTAGCTCAAGGAGGGTCACTTACCGGTGTGAAACAATTTCCTGAACAGATTTTGGAAAACAAAGACAGGCTTAACAAAATTTTAGTCAGACAGAAAATGCATGTGTGTGCACCTGCGGAGCTGTCAATGAGTGTAGTGGCTTGTTCAGCAATAGCCTGGAAAACTAAATTGCTAATGAGAATGTCTCATTAAGCATAACATTTACACAGGACAGATAAGACAGGAGATTCAATGAATTCTCGTTTGTCACTTGCTTTAGATCTCATTACCCACACACAAACACACATTTGTCCAAAGACCTCCTGCTCCCCACCAGTCAGGCAGAACTGATGAAGCCTCTTGGATGAGAGGTTAACGTCCTCTACCTAAAACTATGTCCAGATGCCTTCTTCTAAGTTTTTTCAGCATACTATGACCTGGATGACTCAGAATTTGCACAGACATCCTCTGTGGGGATTTTACATTGACTTGCATTCATTTCCTAAAGACTTACCCTAACCTTAACCATAACCGCTACTTGTTTAACCCTAACGTAACCATAACTTATGCCTAACCTAACATTACCCTAACCTAACCACAAACCAAGTCATCACCATAAAATTCAACCATTTACGCTTGGGGACCAGTATCTGGTCCCCACGAAGCAGGCCAGGTCCCCACAGTGGTAGCATGTAAACAGGTTTCACTCCCCACAATGTGAGTAATACCAGGTGTGCACACACATTCGTGCTCACACACACACACCTTTCTTATGGGAGGGACCGTTAATGTACTTACACCACCTGCAAGAGAGCCAATTAAAATTGTTTTCTGGAACCACTTCTGACTCTGATAGTGCCATAAAAGCTTTTCACAAAAATGAAGAAAAAAAAAGTTAAATAGCTGAAACAATACTGGATGTGAAGCATTCCAACACATTTGCTCCATCCCAGGAGATTACATACTGCATTTGTTTTCTAATGCTGCCAAAATCGTACCTCTCGGTGCCATCATCTGGGAACATGACTAAGAGGCTGCTGCAGTTAAGAAGCTTACATTCAGCCAAACAAACTCAGTCCTCCTCAAGTTTTTCTTAAACTTTCTTCACTGTGCATAATACCAGGCAGTCATTATGACCTTGTTCACAAAATTATGAACCTACTCTTGGAAATGAGTGCTGCAAGAGGAACCACATTATGAAACTGTCATAAATTCATCAGAGGTGTCGGATGAGGCCTACAGTCTGTTCTGTACCTGATGACATGAGCAGGATCTACTTGCAAAAACAGATCTCTTGCAAAAGTAATCTCTTGTCTTACAGTACCAAGCTGGCTTCACATAGACACATCAACTCAACCTATTTCCTTTACAGCTGTTTCTAAAGTATCCTTCCTCCATGACAGCTGTCACCATAGCAACTTGAAAAAAGGACCGAGGTGATGCCGTGCTTACATGAGGTGAAGCCAACAGATGACACCTTGCTTGTTTCACTGTAAAAAAATGAGGAGTCTCAAAATTTCAAACACTAAGTTAGAGCATTTACAAACTTACAAACCATTTCTGACTGAGCTGCAGCTTTGAATTGTCACAGCTTTGGCTGCATTGCTCAAACCACTATCAAAGTTCACAGACAGCTGGTAGTTATTTACAGTACATCACTGTCATTTGTATTATTCTGTTTTGAAAATCTAAATAATCAATACACTCTCAGTCAATCCCATCAGTTGATCAGAGTGTGACATGAAAACAGTGATTCTCCAGGAAATCACACTGCCTGGATGTAGCGCTGTAACATGATGTAAACACAACAAAACAGCAGATGACAGATGTAAATCATTAAATCTCCTATGTAAATTAAGTGGATTCTTCATTAGTGTTATTGATTATACCTGAACCTTTCTTGCTATGAGCAGTTCTTTATAAATGCTAAAAAGCTTTAAATGTTGAAAACGTCTAAGTTCTATCTTTGCCAAATAATAAAACCAATTTGGCCCCAATATATATGGTATACTGTAAATGTATATTTAAAATTTTCACAACTTTACAGTGTTAATACATTAATGTGTTGATGAAGTGGGTATGCAACAAACAGCACAAAACAAAATGCTGTTTAATTTTATCTTTACATACAAAGATGAATAATGTCTTTGTAATCTCTACTGCTTCTGTTGTGTATTAGCAGGCTAATTACAGGTAATAGCTGGACTGATGTGATGTGAGATCAAAGGTAACTTGAGTTTATTAACCACTACTTTATGATCAGTTTAGTTGTGGAATTTCATGAGCCTCTTAAAGTCAGACAGCAGCAACTGCTTCCACAACACTGATATCAAAATATTGACTACTGCATTAAGTTAATGGGAATATCACATTTGCATGAACTTGCAGTGTTGGCCATCCCTCTGGGAGAATGCAGGGAAGGATGATGAGTGATAGTGAGAGACAGAGAGAAAATATGAGAATCACTGTCAGGTCCGCTCGGCGCGACCTGCCTCTCCTCCGCCTTTCTCTCCTCTGTTCTCTCGACCTGCAGGGTCGGCACCTCAGCTGTGTTGCATTCGGTAATTAGCGACTCGTTTGTCGGTGCACACAGCTGGGGTGCATCCCGCTGATTAACTCCTTCCTTATTTATACCTCTGGCAGACGCTCTGTCATCGCCGGAGCAGTACTCAAAACATGTGTTCTAGATTTCAATGCTGACAGTGACTGTGCTGTTGATTTCTGTTATCACCTTATTTACACGTGTTTGTGCACGTTGATTTCTGTTATCACCTTATTTACATGTGTTTGTGCACGTAACTACTGTAACAACAGCCCTATAGTCGTGGTATGTATTTGTACGTCATTTTGTTTTCCACGCTGACAGTTCCTGTTGTTATGATTTAGTCCCCCTCACCCTCCTGGTGAGGGGGACTAAATCATAACAATCTCTAGCAGTCTGTCTAGCTGATTAGCTTACAGCTGCAGATGTCAAACTTTTTCTCAAGGAACACATTCAGCTTATGCGTTTGTGAGAAAATAATGGCCTAGATGCAGATACTGCATTGGCTACTGTAACATGTTTTATTCCCAAAGCAACCTCCAGTCTGTAATTTTATAAATATTGTCTTACATTGCATGAACTGAGCCATGACTGCTGGGGAATACATTTCATCTGAATAATCTGCAGAATTATTTTATTTTCACTGCAAACTGCCCTTGGGTTCCAACCAAAGTCTTTAAAGAAAAATAAAAAAAACCTTCTGTACAGTACAGTAGATGACTACAAATGTACAAAGTCTGCTTTCCCGTTCCACTCATTCTTTCTCTCTGTATTCACTGAGGTGTATGGACAGCTAATCAGTACTCACTGGGCTCTAAAAGGCCAGGACTCATAATCTGTTCGAACTCCTCCCCTCTGGACGGCGTTACAGGTCACTGTGCGCCAATACAACCAGGCACAAGAACAGTTTCTTTTCCTGGGCTGTCACTCTGATGAACACTTGGCCCACAAGAGTATGACTGGACTATAACCCTCAGTGCAATACCTGTAAATATACCTCGTACAGATTATACAGATCCATACAGGTTTCTATTTTTAAGTACTCTATTTTTATTCCTATTTATCTTGTTTCACAATGAGCATTCCTTTGTTTGTCTGCATTGTTTACTGCTTGTTTATACTCCTTATTTTGCATTGTTTACACTGTTTATTGCTTGTTAATACTGCTTATTTCATTATATTACAGGGCCTTATGTTGGTTTACTGTTTACTTCCCCCTTGCATGAGGATATGTACATGCACATTGAGAGCTGCTGTACCAGAGTCAAATTCCTCATGTGTCCGACACACCTGGCCAATAAAGCTGATTCTGATTCTGAGTTTGACCTGAATGTATATATATATATATACACTAACTAAATATATAATAAATAAACATGTTGTACTAATTCAATTCCCTGCTTGAATATTACAACCATTTATGCCTTAAGACAATGTACTCGAGTTTTGAAAACAGTGGGAGTGAATAGGTATAGTTCAACTAGACTGATGAGACCATCGAATGTTGGGAATGGGGAAGGGTTTCAAGAATATAAAAGGTCAGTCACTACCCATCATTTCACAGTCTCTCTCGCTCTCTCTCTCTCTTACACACACACACAAAATCCCAAACACACATACACTCCCTACCTTCTTGGTGAAGTCCATGGCTTTGAGAATGGAAAGGTTGAGTGTTTCCAGCGAAGCCAGGACTCCCTCATAGTCTCCCATGTGCTTGGCAAAATAGTCTGCACACACACACACACACACACACACACACAAACACATCCACATTAATCAGCACGGAACAGATTCACAAAATAAACTGCAGTGGTTAGACAAAAGGATCTGAAATAACAAAATATATTGTAATAAAAATAATTGCATTTCAATTGAGAAGTACTTTTTAATAATAGATAAGAGAGACTGTGGGCAGCAGCAGGAAATTGTGTGTGTGTGTGTGTGTGTGTGTGTGTGTGTGTGTGAGAGAGAGAGAGAGAGAAAGAGAGTGTCAGCCGCAGAGCTCCTTAGTGTCAACATTACTATTACAGCATAGCAGAGGTGCAGCAGAAGCAGAGAAGGAAAGAAAGGAAGTAGGAAGAGTAGGGTCAGAAAACAGACGAAGGCTTTTTAAAAGCAGTCACATACTGTACATACAGTGCATCCACACAGTCTGGCAAGCAGAGACCAATCTAACAAGATGCTCTGACAGGAGACTGAATCAATTCTCTGCCATCAGTCATGATCAGTTCACTGTGTGGAAACTTGGCAGCAAATTCTTCACTGGCGTAAAGGAAACTTTCCATGGTCAGCTAACCAGGAGAGAGAGAGGAGAGCAGGGGAGGAGAGGCAGGAAGGGAGAAGAAGAGGAAGAAGAGAGGGAATGAAGGAAGATGATCCAGCCAAAGGAGGGATGAGATGTAACTGATGATGGCAGAACTGAGGACAGAGGAGACGAAAGAGACTCCATCTATTCTTCATAATCAAACATTATGTTCAGTAAATGCTGTATATTATATGTAATGTTATGGGGAAAAATCTATTTGATTATTTTAAGTATCAGTTAAATATTTTTATGCTGTGTTTCCACTGGATGACTCTTGTTTGACAACTTGATTTGATATTGGCCCATATTATTATATTAAACAGTAATTGCATTTTACATGGAGGGGATCTGGCAGACTGAATTCTGTTCCATCACTGTGACAAATGGGCTTAAAAACCAGCCACCCAAACTTTACTTTTACCCAACATTAAATGTATTTTCATGTTTACTAATGACATAGGTCCTTTAAACTGCCTTTGGGGATATGTGTGTAGTGAGTCTAAAAAAGTGGTTCCAACCTTTTGTGGGCTAAAATAAAAGTGGCAGATTGTTTACTAATCAAATCATAGTTCCACATGCACCTGTAGGCTGCATTTTCCAGTAATTTGGTTACTAGTGCATATTGGGTTTATAAAAGGATTTATTATCCCTCCAAGTCTTATTAGGACTTGGGTTTCCACTTAAACATGGGCAATAAAAGTCAGCATTCATTTCTAACATAGTGGTAACATTAGTAACATTTTATTAGTATTACACACATTTAAATGAAACCAATTTAAAAAAAAGTTGATATGAGGCTTTCACAGTATCTTATCTACTGTATTTTTGGATTGCCTTATGCACATTAAAAGGCCACCCACGGATTTTACATATCGAGTTCAGTCGACCTCTCACGATGAGTTCTGCTCAACCTGTGAAAACACAAGTCTGAAAAAAATTACCCGAGTGATGTCATTTGCGGATGTGTTTGAAAGTCATGGGTGTTTACCAGGCCGTGAGGGTCTGATGAAAGATGCAGCCAAGTTGCATTATGGGGAGACTGTCCTTGTTTAAAAAAAAAAAGAAAAAAAAAGACCTATATATCGCCTTTATGCCAGCAGGTTACTACTACTATCAGTTTCATGTTATAGTATTAATGACCTCTAGCAGCCATAGTAATTCACAAAGGAAGAAGTTAGGTGACGTAATACAGTATATACCTAAAGCCAGAAAGGGTCAA